CTCCCCCCCACTCTATATATATATATATATATATATATATGTCTGTACTTTACTTTCACTTTGACACTAATAATATTCTAAACACAAATGACACTATTAATATTCTAAAAACTCAACCTGTGTTCTGTATGCTTTTTATGAGATCTATCTGAATTTAGAGCTGAGAGCCTGATTTTATATGAACCAGTAGGATTCATAATAATGAGAATTATTATAACGAACATTAGACGCTGTAAATACGTGCTGGAGCGACCATGAGCTCATTTGATTTTGACACCTTTCAGACGTAGAATTCTTGGCACAAGTCATCAAACTCAATGGGTTCACCAGTGACAGGAATGAATGCCATGTAATGGCGCTTTCACTTTTCTTGCTCTGCTCGGGTCTCTTGCGTCTGTGGGCTGCTCTCAACTGACATCCTATCTGACCCCCACCGGCCTGCTGTCATGTGGCTCACATTCCTGTCCAGCTCCCACACATTAATCAGACACCACCCTCACCACACACATGCACTTTCTTCAGAGGACTGCAGATGAAGTCTAAGACCAAACCCAGGTCTCATCATGACTGTAGAAGCTGCTTCATAGATTCCCATGTGATTTTATCGATCCCTCTGGGGTTTGTGGATTAAATTAGGGTGGCAAGCTACCAATAAAGCCATCTTCAGTGCATTACAGTGTTGTTAGAGCAAAAACCTGAAGATAAAACTGTATAGTTAGTGTTCTAAGCTACACTACGCGATAAAGACCTTTGATTCCTGGAAGCTGTGTGTCAGACAGCCAATAAGATTGAGCCTGGTCGTTTGAGAGAGTTCATGTCATTTATGTGCAATACACATCAGACGGTCAGTGGACGGTCAACATGGTTGTTGTCTGTGTCTGAGACTAGGAGTTAATGAACTGATAACATTAACTACAAGTTGAAAAAGTGTCTTTCATCACCAGACTGTGATGGTGCAGTGGATATTACGGTATAAGGTTCACATGCTATGAATCATCTTTGGCACTAACTGTCTTGTTCTCCTCTTTCTTTACAGGAAGAACTTTTCCGAAGAAAGGACAGACATGCGTTGTGCATTACATAGGTAAACAATCTGCTGTAACTGTTCTCATATGTTGTTCGTCGGATGTTTCGCTCAGGCGACTGGTGCGACCTGCAGACTACCAGCTCAGACAGACAGGAAACAGGATGTCGATAACAACATTCTGTCTCCCCTTGTTCAAAGGGGTCATATGATGTTGCTGGGGGCGTGTTAGAACGAGCCGTTTTAGGTAGGCGTGGCTACATAATAAGCCCTTATAATTATTATTGCTTGAACTTTGGACCTTTACTATTGTGCTTGACATACAGGACGTTGCCAACTGGACCAGAAAATTAATGCCTTCCGCTCATTATGTTCATATTGTTACCTTTAAAATACAATAGTTTAAAAGTCTGAGAGCACTAGTGAAAATGAAGAAACCTTCAAGAAACCTACCTGCAAAGCTACAGTACTGTTAAAAGTTCAAAAATAATCATTAAAAATAATGTCATAAACAGATTTTCTATTATATATATTATATAACTTCTATTAACTAAATTAAATCAACATTTGGTGTGACCGTCCTTTGCATTTTAAAGCAGCTTTTGCTGTAGGTGCACTTGCTCATAGTTTTTCAGGTAGCTTTGCAGGTAGGTTTCTTGAAACATCTTGGAGACGTTGCCACAGTTCTTCTGGATTTAGTCCGTCTCAGTTTGTTCTGTTTCTTCAGACTGGATGATGATGAGATCAGATCTCTGTGTGGAGCACTGGCTGTTGTCAGACTCCTTGTGCAAACAAATATCTCACTGGATTATTACAATTAATGGAAAAATGAATGTTTGGAAATGTAAACTGATATTTCCTACTGACACACTACAGCAAACTGACTTAAAACCATTTTTTACCTGGTAAAAATACTAGTGTTCTAATAATTTTAGCCACCGCTGTAATTCAAAAGAACAGCATTTATTTGAATTAGAAATAACATTATAAATGCCTTTACGGTCATTTTTGATCAAACTAATTTCAGAATTACCGTCTTATACCCCAAACTTTTTAAGAGTAGTGTGTGTTTTGTATCTATAGGACAAAATTTATATTTCTTACTCAATTAATATAATAATATTAATTGAATAATATTCAAATAATATTCTGACTCAATTATTTTATATTGTTTTTATTATTATATTACGTTTTGTGTCATCTTTAAACAGAAATATTTTCAATACTGTCAAAAAAGCCAAAAACATCAAAGGTTTTTCCTGTCTAGTCAGAATTATCAGAGGTATCTGTATCTGTATCTGGACTAAAGTAAACAGCTTGAGGCAGAACTATGCTAGAATCCGGCAGCACTGACTGTGAGACTCACTGCAGATGTCAATACTGCCCTTCTGCAGTACTTAATATAGCACTGCAGGGCCTTCGCCTAGAGCCCTCGAGCCCTGGAGTGAACCAGATACTGCACTACCACCAGAGACAGTAAAGTCATCACTATTCGGCGACACGCGCTTTTTGGCTGAAATGGACAAAAATCAATAGAGCAAATGTTTGGAGCGTGGAACAGGAAGGCAATTTGTGCAAAGACTATGCTCATTTATCTATGATTACAGTCTGAAGATTTTGAATGCAAAATCTGTCTGGAGTGACCAGAAAAAAAAAAAAAAAAGAGAAAGTGGTGTCAGAAAAAATGTTTTGTTGGTGTCAGATGCCATTTATGTATTTTTGTTTAGCTCATATGTGAGAATTAAATCAAAGAAATGCAAATGGCCAGCTAAAAAGAAAAAAAAAAAACATGACTGTCACATGTATCCTATGCGACACAATAAAGTGACAGACCATAAATGCTTCTTTTTATGAAAACCAGAAAAAAATGCATTTTCTCCTTCTGCAGTATCAGTTTTTTTTTTAATGGTTGGTGGTGTTACAAATTTCATTTATGCTACTGATTAAAAGTTTAGGGTCTGTAAGATTTGTAATTTCGTTAAAGAAGTCTCACTGTATGCTCACCACAGCTGAATTTATTTGAGCAAAAATAGAGTAAAAACTGATGTGAAAAAAAAAGTGAAATATATTTACAATTTAAAATAACTGTTTTCTATTTGAATATATTTCAAAATGCAATTTACTCCTGTGATGCAAAGCTGAAATTTCAATAAATTGAACTTTATTTGTCTTTACTGTCAATTTTGATCAATTTAATGCATCCTGGCAAAATAAAAGTATCAATTAATGAATTGATCCCAACTTTTGAACAGTAGTATAAGTAATTGTGTAATTTGGTTTTACTCACATTGGCACTGGGTGAATGCTATTTCTAGACTCTGGTTGCATCTAATTTTTGATGGAAAAATGATACTTTACCTTGACTGAATTATGATTGGAGAGGCTCTGAATGATAATTGCTGCTCTGCTAGTCATGGAACCTTTCATTCCACTTCGTAATATAATAATGTAACATAATGTTCAGGTTGTATATTATCAGCAGTCATGGTTGCATGACAAGCGAAACAGGATGGATTTTATCACAGGTTCATGTCTGAATTAGCAGAGAGACCCCCACCCTTCGCAAACCTACCTTTCTCTGACCCAGCTGGGCAGAAATCAATTAGCCCAGTCCCGCTGTATCCCCTGGGGTTTATTATTAGAGCACAGGAAGCCATCAGACCTCTTGTGACTGGCGGCTCTATTAATAACAATGGCAACACCATGTATAAATATGCTCTGAAGAGACACCCATGTGATTGGTGGTGGCTCCAAGATTAGGCCACTGTAATGGCAATGAAGAGAAACCCACTATAGGTGTCCAGTTTCCTGAACCCTGACCAGGCATTCAGAGGCATTAAAGTAGTGACGTCATGTGCAGTTATGGGGTATGCTGCCTTCTCTTGATTCTAGAAGATACTACGCTATGTGAGAGCCACAGTTCATTGCTCAATGTTTTACTTTAACCTTTTTTTTCCTAATGGAATAATTGACCCAAAATTGTCTCTCAGTCAACCACAGCAAACTGGCTCTCATCCATATATATATTTGAATACATTTTAAAATGTAATTTATTCCTGTGAGACAAAGCTGAATTATCAGCTCCTTCACTATAGCTAATTTTTTTACTCCAGTAAAAACTTAAATGTTTATCTCAATGTCACATGATTCTTCAGAAATCATTATGATATGCTGATGTTGTGCCAAAAAAACATTTATTATTATTATCAATGTTGGAAATGTTTTGTTGTCCAAGCTGCTTGTTTATACAATACACATTTTTTTTTGTAAAAATTTTTCAATTGCAGCAAATTGCTTCTCATTCATAGCGCAGGGTCTTGTAGGTAATAATATTAGTTTAAAAAAACAAGCATTGAAACCCCACCGGAAATAGTATACTGTACCACCTGGACACATTTGGTATTCTCTTTTCAGCTTAACTATGATTCATGATGCTCTAATCATATTCTGGCATACTATATAGTATGGATAGTCTGGAAATTGGGATGTAGCCAGGGTTTCAGGTTCTGGGAATGAGTTGTGCATGTCACCACACAGCAGGCTGTAATGTGAGATTAAATTTAGCATGGAAATGATTGAACAGCCGTACACACTACCTTTCAAATGTTTGGGGTTACTGAGATTTAAAAAAAATAAATTAATAGTTTTATTCAGCAAAGATGCATTAAATGAATCAAAAGTGACAGTAAAGATTTTACATTATTACAAAAATATCTGTTTCAGATAACATGCTGTTCTTTGAAACATTGCATTCATTAAAGAATCCTGAAAAAAGTAATAGTTTCCACAAAAATATGAATATGTATTAATTCAAGTTTATTTGTATAGCGCTTTTCACGATACAAATCATTGCAAAGCAACTTTACAGCAAATTAAGTTTCTACAATATTTAGTGGTAGCTTATCAGTGGTGACTGTCAGTTAATGTACATATGGCAGAAATGTACGAAAAATCAATTAAAGACATAATCAAACAGACGATGAACACTATTAACAACAATTTTTATATGATTCAATCAAACTTATAGCAAAGTTTGGTAGTTCTGAATGTTGTTTCATGGTTGGCATCATCTGAGGTCCTCTGAGGGGTTGGCATCATCTCTTCTCAGGTGTTCTGCATCCAGACTGAAGCTTGTGTAAATCCTAGTTGACATCCCGTGGCAAAAACAGAGAAACAAATAGAGACATAATTAGCGTAGAAGCCTGCCTTTGAATACCTGTATAGTTTTGTAATCAATCTATTAATATGTCATGATCTATAGTGTCGAACGCAGCACTAAGGTCATGTAAAACTAGCAATGAGATGCAGCCTTGGTCTGACGCAAGAAGCAAGTCATTTGTAATTTTAACAAGTGCAGTTTCTGTGCTATGTTGGGGCTTGAAACCTGACTGAAATTCTTCATAGAGATAATTTTTTTGCACAATTGAGCAGACACAACTTTTTCTAAAATTTTGGATTGTTTTGGTTATTTTCTATGAGTTTGTGGATATTAATTAACAAAGCAGCAAAACTGACAATAAGAAATGTGTCTTGAGCAACAAATCGGCATCAGAAAGATTTCTGATGGATCATGTGACACTGAAGACTGGAGTAATGATGCTGAAAATTCAGCTTTGCATCACAGGAATAAATTAAATTTTTATTATATACATAGCATTTTTAATTACAACAGATAAGGATAAAAAAGAAGAATTAGTATTTATTAACACCATGATTGTATTGAAGTGCAAAGTAGTTTGTCTTAACCAGCTAAAAGCACAAAGTTTTTAACTCTCTCTTTGCACTTGACATTTCCGCCAGAATACTCTTGTTTGGTGATACATGAACCATGCGTGTGCCGTGCCATGCGGTTTTCTGCTGACATGTTTTCGAGTTGAAATGTGCCAACAAATCTATAAGAGGCAGTCGCATTCAGGTAGCATGCGCGTCTGATTACATTTGACGCTGACTGAGAGAAACCGGCTGCCAGCTCTTGTAGACGGATACTGTAAGCCGTGGTAAAAATAGATGCCTGCTGGACTGGTTCACACTCTTTCCCATCGACCTCTCACGCACAGACT